GGTGGAGTGTTTTTGTAAAAAAAGAGCAATTTTGGGAGTAATAGTGTAATGAATTGACATTCGGAGTATTATAAAGTCAGAAATTTGTGGGACTGTTGTTGTGAATTTTTCCTATTAGATATCTATGCGTTATAGACTTGCACAACAGGACTACTAGGACTACTAATGACTTTTTTAATCTTGATTTACCTGTATTAGGTCATGTTCTCTTCAACTTATATTTATTAATTCTTACTTTTTGTTATTGGAATCGATCAATTTAGTTTAGTTTAGATCAGATTAAATCAGACTAAACCAGTTCAAATAAGATCAGAAATAACTTTAAATATAACTACATTCATATCAGATTGAAACAGAACTTACTCCAATCATATCAGAACCATTCAGATTAAATGAAGAGAACATAACCTTAGTCTAACACTTCGGTTGAATATTCCAAATTCATTTATATTGTTTGAAGAACATGTAGAATTTCATAATTTTTAAATTTACTTTATTTGTAAATTAGTATTGGAATAAAAATACAACTTACATACGAAGTAGTTGGTTAAAGGAGTATATTGAAAGCTAAGTAAATTACATGAATGTTCTCTTATAAATTGTTCTTTTCATATTTAGTTTCCAATTTTTAAGATATTGCATAAGAGAATTCAGTATCATTTGGTCGTGGATTATGGTTGAAGTTTCAAAGAAGATAGTTTTTGATAGTTTATGTTTCGCTACTATTATTCATGAAAGTCAAAGCCAAACATTGTCATTTGTTAGAATATTTATTAACAATATCATATTCACTTGTGGTTAATTTTTATTGTTGCTTTGCAAGTGAAATTATAAAAGTATGATTAAAGTATCAGAGTATTAGTTTTAGATGTCACGTAGCCCTTGCAATATAACAAAAAAAGTACATATCTAGAACTTTTTCAAATATTTCTAATTTAAATAAGACTTTGCCATGCTCATTTCCAAATTTACATAGTAGAATTTTTATTACCATATGTTATATGTTATATCATTCCTTTAATTTTTAATTTCTATGTTTTTTTTTAAAATTCAATCACATTACATGGTCAAACAATGCCTAGATCATGCATACTATCCTTTTAGGTTTAACAACAACAATTTGCGAAATCACAATCAACAATCACACATGTAAGTCACATAGATCAACCACGATAATAACTATGAACGGAAATAAAAACCTAGAAGCATATTCTAGTGTTAGATGTCCATGAACTCACCTCAATTCGTTTACCCTGATTAAAGAGCATGTCCCTGAACGATGATGTTGAAATGAAATTCAACCCCTACTGCCCGACACCTCATTGTTGCTGCCCGAACCCGTTTCCACTGCCCGAGCATTGCTGGACCACCACCAACGCTGTTGGAGACTACCGAGGTTGAGCTACCGCTGCCTGAAGCTAATTGTCGTTACCCGGTCGTCATCGAGAAAGTCGGCGCCGTTATTGCGACCATCAAGAGTGACCCGCAGTTGACAAACCAATGGTTGCTGCCTGGACAACGCCTTTTTACGACCCTTCGTCACTAGTGGGAGTCGTCAGAGCAAGGAGGAGTCACGCCTGATCCATTCGCCACCGCGTGAAGGTCGCATGAGAAGACAAACTCCACCTTTTCTGATGTTGCTAATAAAAGTCGATGGTGTTTTTTTGATTCGGAATTCATCCCTGCTGGTAAATTGCTTGCTTGGAGAGGAAGGGAAAGGAGTAGGCACCAACGCCCGAGATAGTGGAGGTGGTGCCCCTCGTCACATATTGCAAACCGCTACCGCCTTTGTATCCCTGAATCGAGACTTGGCATCGTCGAAGTTGGAGAAAGGATCGCAGCCTTGCCGCTGCTTGCTGGTCTGATCGTGGTCGCCGGTGAAAAATCTGTCGGGAGGGAAAGGGCCTGCGTTCCCTCAGATGGAAGACAAAGAAGGATTGAAGAAGAAGAAGAAGAAATGGTGCTATGGGGTATTTGAGAGAATCCATTTATATACCCTAGAGTTTTGTACTCTATAATTTAAAATAATGTGTCTGAGTAAAAATACACTTTTTGGGCCAACTTGCTCAGAATTGAGATTTGTTCATGTCATTGGATTCGATTCGCCGATCCTTACCCAACAATATAACCTATATACTTAATCAACAAGGTACAGAGTACAACAGGTTTGCTTCATATTCTCATTACGGTTATAGTTAGGTGAATGGTTTTGCCATCCCCAAGGAAAATTTCTCTTTGTTTGTTTAAGGTACTATCATAGAAAATCTGAGTTGGTATTTCATTCGAGTTATATAACAAGTTCGTCATGCTCTTAATTTAGGCTACCTCGGGTTTTCTCCAGCGGAATGGATGGAGTGCCTCCATAGTGTGTACACGCAATACTCAAGTTTTCAGTTACCGCAGCGTCCATCATTTGATCAATTGTTTAGTTCTTATTCGAAGTTCGTTTGTTTCGTTAGCTTATGGCATCAACATAAGATCTTCTCAAGATTTCTAGTTGATTAACAAGATTATGGCAACGTTCACGCATTCCGTGTTGTCGATAAGTTCAGGAAAGTTTGTTTTACCGTTTGGCTCTTTGAGTGTTAGAAGTCATTTTGTAAGTCTATCTCAAGTTTTTCTTCTCCCTATCGCTCTATTCATTACACCCTAATCCATCTAGGTCTGCAGCCCCTTTCGGACTAAAATATTAACTTGCTAATCGTAAAAATTTAAAACATTTCCAAAAACTTTTATTCATCATAAGAATAATATTCATAACACTTACAGTACAATGTTTTCAATGTTGGGAAGCTTAATAATTCACAATCACAAAGCACAATTAATTTATTTCCTTATTTAAAACCATCACATCCATCCCGACAATCTCGCCTCTGTCTGCCGCTAGGATCATGTCACATCATTCTTTCTATTTACCTACATGTAGCAAATAAAACATACTACACACTTAGCGTTGAAGCTGAGTAAGGATATCTAATGCATCAAACATCTATATAAATTGAATCTCAATTCATAATCAAATCATTTGATATCATGCACATAATGTTCAGTTCAGACATTCAATAATTAATATCCAATATTCAACATTCAATATTCAACACTCATATTCATATTCAACATTGATCAACAATACCCTCAAACTATTCTTAGTCTAAGGCCAATCTCTTTAATGGTTACCAACTCTTAAACTATATTCTAGTTTAAGGTACTTCTAACCAACTCTTAAACTAGTCTAGTTTAAGGGAAAATTTTTAAAAAGGTTTTCCGACTCTTAAACTAGCCTTCACTTAATGTACACCAGAAACCGAACAACGGAATGCTCAGTGTCGGGTTGGGTGGTATCCCCAAACGAGTGATCCTCTAGTTTGGTTTACGGATCCCGTACGTACATTTTTACCCATGCCACTAAATATTCATATTTATACATGCAAGGCCAATTCTAGTTTGAGGTCTATCTTAGAGGTCTTCTAGATAGCCTTAGAAATCAACATCAACACGGGTTTATCTTAGAGTTCTTCTAGATACCCTTAATAATACACATTATTTTCATAATTATTACTATATATTCATTTTGAAGTCATGATTCAACCATTCATAATTATCATTCTAATCAGAATATTCATCAATCAATAATAATCATCATAATCATCAATCCATAATAATCATCTTAATCATCAACCAATAATAATCATCATAATATTCAATAACAAATAGCGGCTTAGCGTCGAGTGCTAACACCATAGCTTACCATCATATATCAAAAGATCCTTGAATTTGTCAAAACACCATATTTATTTCCAGAAATCATTTTTATATTGATTATACTTATTTGGTATCAAAAATAGGATTTAATAGTTCAAAAATCGGGTATTCGAGAAAATTTTGGGTTCTAGACGGTACCCGTCACGGTACCTCGGTATGGACCACCGCCAGCCACTGCCATAGAAGCAGCAACCGGTGGTAGGAAGGCCACCATTGTGGCAGTATGCCCTACCGTGCCGGCAGTACCTAGGTACCGTTCAGGCGATAACACAATACTGTTTTGCACGTAATTTTGAACAATGTCATCTTCAACATCGGGCCAATTTTCGGAAATGTCATTTTGAGTCACCAAATTTCAATTAAATAATATAGAAATGTTCTCCAAGGTTCATAAATCATTTTGGTATCATTAATTTTTCGTTTTAACAACAATTTCAAGGTTTATGATTTTGGTTCTTCAAACATGTCAAACCCAAAACTCAACCAAACAACCGTTTATGAAAGTAGAAACGATCTATACAAACATTCTAGTCACTAGTTATATCTAAGGGTTTACCTTAGAGCTTACTGATGAATCCGACGATTGAACGACGAAACTTCCGGCAAACACTACAGCTTGCTCTGGCGACCTCTCACCAAGTTGACACCACCATTATGTTCTTCATACTTAAGAGAATCTTATGGGACAGAAATTGTGAGTTTTGGTGGAGAAATGGGAAGAATTCGGTTCCTTTATATAAGAGAAGAGAAGAGAAGAAATGGGAAGAATTCGGTTCATATTATTTATTCTCATGATTTATTTCAATAAATCATTTCAAAGTTTGCATCATAAAGAAAGTCTTTATTTATTCTTAATTTGGGATTCTTAATTTGGGTCTGTACTCTGGTTCCCAATCAAGATCACACATAAAGTCAACATATTGGATTTATCTCTATGAGATCTATCTAGATTGTGATATTGGATATCAAAATATGTTTCATTTTGGCCCAAAACCCAACAGTAGTTTATTTTATTTAAAATCACTTTGTTTAATTGAATAATTATTCAATAAAAATTTTAGGATATGTTTTGGGGCATTATACTATTACGTCACAATTCGTGTAGCATTCCATCACGGTCGATTTCATGGCGTTGCTATTCCATACTTGTATTGCTCTTGAGAGGAGTCAATTGTGGATGTTTAACAATAGCAGATTACTGTTCAGATAGTGTTCGTATTCAACATTTTTTTCCTCAGCTCATGCGATCCGTTCAAGGTGATTTAGATACTTTATGTGACGAGATGCAACACCGTATTTCGCTTTATATGTACATGGGTCCTTGTTGTTGATAGACTAAATCTTCATTGTTGGGATCTTTAGCGATTTTTCTCTAGGCTTCGATTATGAATTCATCCCTGATGGTAATTTCCTGGCATGGAGAGGTAGGGAAAGGAGTCGTTGCCAACACCGGAGATAGTGGAGGCCCCTCGTCGCTGATTGTAAACTGCCGCTGCCTGTGCATCGTTGAATCGAGACTCCGCATCGTCGTAGTTGGAGAAAGGATCGCAGCCTCGCCCCTGCGTGCTGGTCTGATCGCGGTCACCAATTGAAAATCCGTAGTGAGGGAAGGGGTCTGCGTTGCCTCAGATGGAAAACAAAGAAGGACCGAAGAAGAAGAAACGGCGCTGTGGCGCAGAGGCGATAATCAATTTATATACCCTGGGGTTTTGTACTCCGTAATTTAAAAAAACGTGTCTGAGTAAAAACACATTTTTCGGGCCAACTTGCTTTGAATTTAGATCTGTTACTGTCGTTAGATTCGATTTGTCGTACCCTTACCCAACGATATAACTTTTATACACAATTAACAAGTATTTATAAGTTTCACCTAGTCCGTCTTAATTCTCTTGATTAATTAGTATCGATCAGTCTTTTAATTTAAATCTTAAAAAATACAATTAGATTAGTCATGTTATATTGAGACGATTAGAATCTCCAAAGTAACTTTTAATTCTTTTAATTCTTTAAAAGGACAAAATATCATAAATAAATAATTCCAATTTATTTAATTAGCAATTAACTTCTAGACCGGTTGTCAAGGTGTTACAAGTTTTGTTTGTTGCATTAGTTTAGTTTATTCACTTTCACATCGTCACATCTCTTTCTTTTTGGCCTTGATTCACATATTACAATTCCACATTAGTGTTTAGTTGCACTTGACAATCAATTCCTAACCAATAACGCTATCCTCGTGGATACGACACGCTTACTTTCATCACAACACTCACTCTTTACTCTTTTTACTTTTTCCACATTTTCATGCCATTTCTCCTTTCACTTTTTGATCGGGGGTTTTCGGTGCATAATGACACACCAAAAATCTCTCACATAAGTTGCGCGTTACAATATTTGACTGAAATTATTTTAATTCATCTTATATGAAAATTTGTGTAGAGAAAAAATTATATTAAAAGATTTACAAAACTAGAGGTGACGTAATTATATTATTTTATCAATTGGAAATGAAAATAGACAAATAAAGTCAATAAAATTTGACCATGCGAATAGTAAATAAGAAAAAAGTTTGTGGATAGAGATATCCATACTTTATTTAAAAAGAGGTGAAGTCAATATTACGTTTTCCGCCCAAAGACTATAGCCATTTCATATGGGAATTGTGAAGTTAAAATGGTAATTAATAAAATGATATTAAGCACGCTATTAATGAAATCTGATTAATTACCGTGTCAAATTAACTATAGTAATTTTAATTATAGTAATTTTAATTAAAATTGTATATTACGTGTGATTACTGTGTCAAATTAATTATAGTAATTAAATGTTAATTACCGTACCGTGTCAAATTAATTATAGTAATTATAGTAATTTTATAATAGTAATTTTACAATAGTAATTTTATAATGGCTATATTTTAATAATAGTGGCTATACTTTATAATGGCTATATTTTACTATATTTTAATTATAGTAATTTTAGTCAAAAAAGATAATAATTAACAAAGGTATTAATTATATAACCGTGTGACTACATAAATGTATACTCCGTATTAATTACCATGTCATTTTAATTATAGTAATTTTAATTAAAATAATTTTAAATATAATAATTTTAATAATTTAAATATAGTAATAGTAATTGTTAACTATTTAAAGATGGTAAGAAATTAAAGTGTCCGAAATTATAGTAATATAAAATGGACTATAACTACTGTAAGAATTAAATATCTTTTAAGTATATATATTCACGTTTAATAGAAAGAAAGGTAATAACCAAGAAAGGTAATAATTAAATGTCATTTTTAAAGTGTCCGAAATTATACTAGCAAGAAAGGTAATAATCAAAAAAGGTAATAATTGACCACGGTATTAATTATATAACCGTGTGACTACATAATTGTATATTAATTACCATGCCAAATTAATTATAGTAATTTTAAAATAGTAATTTTATAATGGCTATATTTTAATTATAGCGGCAATATTTTATAATGGCTATATTTTACTATATTTTAATTATAGTAATTTTAATCAAAAAAGATAATAATTAACCAAGGTATTAATTATATAACTGTGTGACTAGATAATTGTATACTCCGAATTAATTACCGTGTCATTTCGATTTTAGTAATTTTAAATATAATAAATTAAACAATTTAAATATAGTAATAGTAATTTAAATTCGTTATAGCACTTTGAAAAATGAATTGTTTTTTTAACCTTGTATGTAAAAATCATATTATAAATACATCCATTTACAAAGCTTTCATAGCCATTACAATCATCATGAATTTTTTTCCCTACATTTCAAAACTGTCATTACTACAAAAAATGAGGATCTTAATTGCTTGGAAAAATGTTGATGAGTGGTCATCAATGTTAACGATGAAGCTACGAGCAATTAGGGTTTATCACAGATTTCCGTAACAATAATCCAACATGTTTTAGTCATGGACAGCTCTATATTGTAGTTTCAAGAATAACTAATCGTAGTGGGTTGAAAATTCTGATATATATATGCAATGAAGATAATATTCCCACAAATTGTACAAATAATGTAGTCCATAAAAAAGTCTTTCAAAATTTGTGAAGCAGTAATGTTTTGTACCTTAAAATAATATAATATCTATATTCTATTGCACCTCATTTTTTATCATCGAAAAATGATTTGAATTTAACAACATAAAAATGATCCGTGCAACGCACGGGTGTGATACTAATTATAAAAAATCAAAATATTTTATTTAAAAAAAAGTAACTTAAATTTTTAGAATATATTATTTTTTTAAAAAATGTAGTACCTCTGTCAGAGATCATTTATCCCGTTTGACTTTTTGCAATCAAAACTCATAAACTTTGACCATTAATAAAATAAAATTTATATTAGATATCGATACAAAAATTATTTTATTATATTTATCTTATAAAATATTCCCAAAATATCTATTTGTTTAATTAATATAGAATAAGATAATTTTAAGTTGATTATAGGTCAAATGTCAAATCTTGACAAATATTTTAAGACGATTATAGCATATGCTGCAAAAATAATTTCTATAAAATAAATTTTTTAAAGCAATTATTTTAATTTTTTTGTTTAACTCATACAAGTTACCACAACTACAACCATTATTTTAAATTTTAAATTTTACAACAATCATTTAAATTTTAAATTATTTTCGGGAATAGATATTAAATTGAATATTTTAATTTTTTTCTCTTTTCTTTATTTGTTTTTTTCTTTCTTCTTTTTCTTTGTTCTTTTTCTCCCTTTTTGTTCTTTTTTCCACATACATGTGCATCCCCTTTACCCTCTTTCTCGGTTATGGTTATTTTAATTTCCTCTCTTTCACATCATTATTTTTAATATACTCTTAGTAAATACATCATTGCTCATGGTGTGCCTAATTATTTTCTACTTCCTTCATCTTATAATAGATATCTCTTTTTGCAAAACGAATAAAAATTTCACATTGTTACTATTAATTTTATTTAAGAATGGGTATAGAAATAAAAGTTATAACTTACATATTGAAAAAAATATATCAAAACTTTTATAAAATGAGAAGTGATAGCAATATTTTATTCTATCAAATAAACATTGAAATACACAAATAAATAAATAAATATTGTTCTGAAATTTAACTGCGTATTAGTGACATCCATTGTGAGACGAAGACATACAAAGAGTATGAGATAAAACATAAATTCTAACGTATCAAAAACATTATTTTCCTTTCCCAATAGAGATATGTTATTTTTGTTCTTATGGTTGTAGGATTAAATGTTCTTATGATTGTAGGATTGAAAAGATCTTGAACAACACATTCTCTTCACCCCGAATTAATTGTTCTACTTTAAATTCATAAAGTTTTAAAAATATTAAAAAGTAAAATTTGAGTGTTAGAAATTTGTTTAGAATAAAAAAAGAGATTGTAACTACAATTTTTTAATCCATACTTTATGTAAAAAAAAGTGAAGTCAATACTACGTTTTCTTGCCCAAAGAGTATTATCATTACATATGCTAATTGTGAAGTTAAAATGGTAATTAATAATTAATAAAATGATATTAAGCACGTTATTAATGAAATCTAATAGCAAGAAAGGTAATAACCAATGAAGGTATTAATTAACCATCATTTTTAAAGTGTCCAAAATTACTCCTTGCAAGAAAGGTAAGTTATAAAAATCAATGCTATTAATACCGTAAAGTTGGAAAAATATAAATAGAGTGGAAAAAAAATTCCGTTTAAAATTTAATACACGTCAATCAATGATATTAATACCGTAAATTTAGAAAGAAAAAAATGAATAACCAATCAAGTCTTTTAATACGGTAAAACCCTTTATATATATATATATATATATATATATATATATATATATATATATATATATATATATATATATATATATATATATATATATATATATATATATATGTTTAATAGTAATAAAGGTAATAACCAAAAAATGAAACAATTAACTGCCATTTTTAACCCGTGCACGAATTATTACCCGTGTCGATAAAGATTAATATTAATTTTAACCTTTTTTTGTGTAGGGGCGTTCGGTTAGATTGTACGTTATGGGGAAATCATATCAATGTTCTGATTGATGGTTTGAATGCAATGGATTCGACTCTTCCAATTTTGGTGTTGCAAATGGTGAAACCTAAGCTATACAATGGTATTCTTATAAATTCATTCAAATTATTTTTGAAATACATGTAACCAAAGAATTAATTCTAATTGTTTGTTTTTTTAATACTTTAGAGCAAGTGTATGTTACAATATTTTATTCTGTGAGCAATGTTTTACTCAACGAGGACTGTATTGAAGTTAAAGCTTTTAGAGAAAAGTATGTCCAAATGTATTCTTGGAGATTTGAAGTTTTTTAAAATATATTCTACGTGATTTAAATTTATGGCAATTCTAATCATTCAGGTTAATGTCAAGTGGTTATAATTTGACCGAGAGTTGTAGTATCATGTCAACACAATCAAGGTTAAGAGATGATCCAAGAACTAGAAACTTGACAATAGTCTCCATACATGAACTAAAAAGCATGAACAATGTAAGATATATTTTTTACATGTTAGTAGAGAATTAAATTTTATTTAAACTTTAAATATATTGCATATTCATCAATGGAAATAAATTCTTCTAAAAAAGAATGACCTAAATTATTTTAACGTTATTTCA